TATATATACAGTATTATATGTAATATTCTCATATCTATATTTACATTAATAAGGTGTCATCATATATTGGTTTAATGTAATGTTATAATATTAAAACAGAATACCACTATGAAACTCAATGTAATTGCAATCAACACAGTACCAACAAAGATTTGACCGTGGCCGAAGCTGTCAAATGTAGTACGCACACTGGTGTGGGCACGCTTAGTACAGTAAATAAAAACTTATCCAACAAACAAACAGAGCAATTCGTTAGGGACATGTTGTTTGAGGTAGACAAACAGAGCTGGATAATGATAAGTACAAACTTATTCACTGCTATGCTGCTTCTCTATAAACCATCATTTATGTTATATTTAATTATCAAATGCTGTAACAATTAATCTTCCACTTATGGGACATTTAACAAGTACTTACCTTCAGAAAATATAAAACTTTTTGTAGCATGACGTTTGTAAATCATTGAAAACTGATTTTTAGATTTTTTGATCTGTGACGTGAAAGTTGATAACATTGTTTTTTTTTTCAATGAACAATGCAAATGTTTTAAGGTTTTACCTTTAATTTCAAAATTTGATATCTATGTCACAGTGTTTAAAACCCAACAGACTACAATGCATTGTTTTGAAGTTCCAGGGGCTTCTGTTGATTTGGGATCTTAATCCTGAAACAATGTAAAATTGATTTGTGCTAAGCTTATGCTGTAAGATATAAGGTCTATTGTTTAATAATTCATCAACAGTCGTTTATATGCTGTTTGATATCAAGGATATAGACTTACAATTCTCATCTCATACAGGATATATCTTCCATGATAAGAGATGGTATTTTTTATATGTTAATGATTTTATATACGTTCTTTCATAAAACGAAGAATGTATCGAAACAAGTAACATTAAAATTCCTTTTATTTATTTTATTAGTTTATATAAGGAGTACACATAGTCGTACTGCAGAATTTTTTTTCTTAAAAACCACAATATTATAACCCTGGTTACTGAATCAATATTATTTTATATAAGGAGTACACATAGTAGTATTGCAGAAATTTTTTTTCGTATGAACCACAATATTATAACTCTGGCTACTGAATCAATATTATTTTATATAAGAAGTACACACATAGTTTTTTTTTTTTTTTTTTAAAATAAAAACCACATTCTATGCCACAACCTTTCACCAGGTATAAATTTATACTCTTGGGTGAAGCAAGACAAACATAGATTTAAAGTGCCTTGTTCAAGGACACAAGTGAGGGATTTCAATTTTAAAAACTTAAACCGCAACTGTTACCAATGGTGCAAAACACACTGTTGAATTCAAAATTGAAGTGCGGCTTTAATAGTATTGATTTGTAAATGAACAGAAAATATTTCACTAAATACATTATTGCTGCTGGCCACTTAAGAGACATTATTATTGACAATAAGAAACATTTTAGGCAATTTGCATTTAGAAAAATGTATATATTATTTTTGTTTGTTTTATTGCGAAAGTTAAGGGCATGTGGACATTAAGGGGTCTATTTCGTGAATACTTACCTGGATAACCGACTAATTGCCATTGTTCCCAAAACGGAACACCCCTTCGAAAAAATGGAACAGTCCGACCCAAGGCGCCACGTGCGAACCGTCTCCCTAACAAATGTCCTCATTCCCTTTTCGACGTCCGTTGAAAGTGAACCTCCTTTAGGGTGCTAAATCATAGAGTAGTACCACGTGTTTGTGTTCGCTACTGCGATAAGGATTTTCAGCCTTGGGTTTACAGTACATTGCAACTCCAGCTCATAGACGTGACTGCAAGTGTATGCCTTCCATATGCGTTGAGGTATCCTCCAAGGATATATGTATATAACGTCAACCTCAATCTCTTGAGTTTTTCCTCTAACTCTCTCCACTTTATACACCGCCACCCATCCCCTTATAATTCACTGAATAAAAAAATTAAAGTTTATATTTTGACTGTAAGCTACTGTATGTGTGTATACACATGAAACCTATGTTTAAACTTTCTCCTGCCAGCTAAAGGCCCATTCAGTTGTATATGTTTTGAGAAGAAAGTGAGATGGAATGAAGATTGAAGCACCGTTGATTTAATGCAGAATGTATATTATATGCCTGTCAAGCTCGACAACCTAATGCATATTTGATTCTTACATTACATTGCCTTAGTATCCAAGATAATGCATTATAAGCACCAGCTTGAATCAACATGAAATGTAAATAGAATCTTTATTATGATGTAAAAACAGTCTTTATAGTATATATTTCCCAGTGGTATTTATACAATTATTGCAAATCAAACACTTCATGTTAGTTCCTTTTGATTGGCAAATTCCACAGAAACACTTGACATGGTGCAGATTGCCCTAGTTGTACAGAGAATTAATATATTAATATATATTTAAAAAACCAAAATTGAATCTCCAGTGGCCTATTTCTATGTTGGTATTGTAACATAAACATGAAAAAAAAAGCGGACCAAGAAAGTAATAGTTAATCTAACCCTAAAGACATGCTAATCCAACTCCTTGAACTAAGCATGGTTGGCCGTTCTCCAAGGAGCTCATCTACCCTTTGTTAAGCTATTTTTTTTATTGCTGCTGGGTGACCAGACAAGTATCTGTATGTACCAAGGCAAGTGGTTTAATGTTCATTATCATCATTTTTATTAAACAGCAAATGTGTTAGCCCACGACCATGCTTTAATTTTCCAACTTTTTGAAGTTTATGGAAAATAATTGAGCATAAACATGAATTTGAATTAATTATTTAATTATATGACATTTTAAAATTAAATGTTAATTTTGGTTTTTCATTTATCTTTTTTTTTTAATACAGAAATTAGGCAGTGATATATCCAGACAGCTTCCAAGCCTTGTAAGCTTAGAGTCTGCAACCAATGAGATATCACCAAAGTTAAAGCCACAGGAAGCCACAGCCATCAAAGAACATCTCAAGTAAGTCTGAAGTTTTAATTTTCTTTGGCTAAACTGGTAATAGCCACTGCGTATGCACTGATACACGTGAAGATCCTTTCAGATCTTTGCTTCCAAGTTCAATTTAAATCGCTGCTCTTCTTGTGCTCCAGCTACAGAGTTGAAATATAAGTTATGGCAGTGTACCACAATTAGTAATTTAGATGTTTGGAATTAACCTACAATGCAGAAGTTCAAGAGAAAAATATTGTAAACTTCTTCTGGTTTCAATTAAGTTACTGTCACAAAGGCAGGGGTTATAAAATTGGATCATAAATTATTGAAAATGCTGACCATGTGGAAGTAGATACTTCAAATTATGGTTACTTTCATCACCTTTGACCCAACGAATGTTATCAACATCACTGTTCCTTTCATTAACATTTAATACTGTAATTGTAAATATATTAGTGTACTGTATGATAATTTTCATTTTATTGTATCATTTTTTTTATATAATAACAGAGCAGAGAGTGGGAAATGGTCAAAGCATGATGAGATGGCTAAACAGCAGACCGCAACACTTGAAGTGCTCTTGATAGACTACAAAAGCTTCATAGAGAAAGCTCAGTTCTGCTTAGGCTGGCTTAAAGACGTTGAAAGACAAGTTGCAAGCCCAGCAACTATTAGCCCTAAGGTTACTGAAGTGGAGTCTGCTGTACAGAGACACAAGGTTAGTATAAACATCATACAACAAAACATTTTAGTGGCTCCTATAATGCTAGAAAGGTGGGGCAAGCGATAACAAACACAGTTACAATTTTAATCGATACCCATTCATATACAGAGTATCAACATTTTACAAGAATTTCAAAATCAAGCAGAAAAACAAATAAAATTTATACATATTAACTAACTTATGATTCAGGCTTAGTAAATCACTGACCATAATAAATTTACTAACTTCTGATTCAGAAGTTTTGTAGTACTTACCTGGATAATCCGAATATTGGCAATTTTCGAAAAAAAATAAATGGAATCCTCTGCCTATTATGGTGTATGTAATTGATATGCATTACCTAAGAATGATAATAATAGGACAAGAATATATACCGTGCCTTTTGCTTAATCATCCTATTTTGAATAATAAGTAATTTCTGGAACTGTCAATGAACTGGTCATAAAACAAGACATGTAAAAATTCAGAATTGTTTATATCTTTCGCTAGTGATTTGTAGAGTACTAAGGTTTAAATTTTTTCAATCTAACATCTGATTATTCATCGATAACTTTGGTCTAAACACTTTGTAGGACTTATGCAATGAAATTGAAAGCAAACGAGCCCTAATGCAAAGTCTGAGGGAAAGAGGTGACAACATGGTAAAAGGATTGAGTCAAGGTGAGAAGGCTAATGTTCAGAGACACATCCTACAGATCTCCAGTCATCTGGATATGGTTCAAAGACTTGCTGCCAAGAAGTCGGAGAAGCTTGATGCCTGCTTACGTCAAAGAAAAGTAAGAACACTTTCAAGTGGATTTAGTCTTACAGTTGTTTCTTCTCAAACTATGTGTCATTGTGTTGGTCATGTTGTTTTTGTTGTCTTTAGAACTTAACTTACTTATAAATTCATTTGATAGGAATTTTGGCAGAGATATAATGACTGCTACCAACAACTTCAGGAGGAATCAAAATCCATCTCAGATATGATCCCTCCCAAAGTGATTGTGGAGGAAATTATCAAACAAATCTTTGAAGCAAAGGTAAGTTAAGAGGAGCATAACTGTACACTCATTACCTCAACAATAATGGAATCATCTGACCTAGGTGTATATATTGCAACAGTGTTATGCGATAGGCCTCAATGTATTAATTTGTATTGTTATGTTTATGATTTAATATTAATTTAACTTTTTAAATATCAATAATCTCAAGGTTGTTGATGAGAATTTGAAGGGACTACATGAGGAGATTATAAATGTTTGTAGCGATGGTGGCGCTATAATCCAAGACTGCAAGGATGTCGACAAACAAGAACTGCAGCAGCAGTTAAAAGGTGAGCGCAAACAATGGAACTACAGCAGATTATTTAAACAGTTCTCCTCTAGATGTTCTTGCCCAACTGCTTCTGTTTTATCATGCTCAAATAGTTACATCTGGTTTTTGTGATGTATGAACAGGGGTTTATTTATGAATTTGAGTAGCAGGAGAAATTTGAAAGTAACAGGAGAGCAAATTGAAATAGGCCGGGGTATAGGGGGCCGCCTAGGCCCCCATCGGGGTCCAGGGGGTGAAGCGCCATTGCGCTCCAGGGTATTAGAGTTTTTTAAGCCCATTTGATGGCATTTCTCTACATCATTTTTTTTAAACAGTTTTCAGAATCAACTAATGAGCTGTAAAAAAGTTGATATTTTTACATATACTGTATCTTCATACATAGGCCTAGCCTAAATAGATACTGTAAAAACCAGAAACTTTCGCGAATTGATAATTTCGGCCGTTTTCGCGACATTAGACTTTCGCGAATCTCAAAAAGCCTAAATTTAATTCATGAGAGGAATATCATACAATAGCTGAAAATATCGTATCGTGAGTTTAGGCCTAGGTTAGATAGGCCTACAGCCACTGTGTAGGCTATATCTAGGCCTTGGCAGGCTTAGGCGCCATATAAGCCTGCAGCCTACCCCAGCTCAGTTGCTAGGACCAGGACTTAGCTGGCTATCCCAGGCACAGATAAGAAAGAGACAAGTTTACACACATACACTACTCACTCATATGATATTCTTAATTTTGTATGGTATTCAAGCATCCTACAAAATGAACAATGTTTATCAATGTTTTATTAACGAATTATTTTCCTGTAGGCCTAATATCGATTCAAACACATTGATTGATGATGATTGAACATCGTGGTATGTTATATGGTACGGAAATTAGTTTCCCATTTGAACTTCTTAGTATACACTGCACAGTGGTTGCACATGTGCAATCACATGCAGTGATGATCACAACCTCATTGATTAGTATACTTACTGAGTAGGTTAGAATAGGCCTAGAATTTACGAATTTTTCGAGTTCAACATCGGAATTTAAGGTCAGAATATTGATTCAATAATTGAAATAGGTTCTTTTTCAAGTTTATAAACATTTAATAAAATCCACCAAAATAAATTAAAAATACAATTTTTATAATGATGAAGTTGTTTACTTTTCACAAATATGTTGAAATTTGTGGGGATTCACCATTTAGGCCTATGCGCCCTAGATCTGCGTTGAAGAAAACATCTAAGAAGAGCAAAAAATAGTTCTAAAATTTACGCAAATATCGAAAAGGAATGGATACCACATTGGAAAAAAATGTCTCATGTGATGTCGTGAATTGAGACGATTTTGGCTTGCTTTGCCGTTTTAATCATTGTAGGCCTACTATCTATAACTCTGAAATTGTGAGTGTAAACAGCATTCAATATAGTTGGTTCGCCTTGCTACCTCCGCCACCGAGTGTAAACGAATTTGAGCCAGTGTTGGTTTTTTTTTTATTCTTTATCATTTCCGAAATATCTATGTCATCACAAAGAGGGCTAGTAAAATAAAAATAAAATGAAAATAAAAGTTTCATAGTCATACACAAATTAATTTAAAAATGACATCTGTTTTTTTCTTCTCCGCGGTAAGAAAACCCGGAAGCCCAATGTACGGAAAAAGAGTTTGGGCGATGTATATCGTCATCACCTGAGCAGGTGGTGAAGGAGAAATTTCTATTATCTTATTGGCTAACATGTGATTTGGAGGCGTGGCTTCTTTGATGGCTCACCCAGGCGCGACTGCCGAACTTTGAACTTTAACTTTGTTTACGCCGTGAGTTCATGAAAGTCAAACATGGAGTCTGAGGATTGGTAGACATTTTAACGAACTTTCAACAGAAAGGAACATCGAAATTAGTGCATACTATTGCAAATTAACTTCGTGTAGGTAAATAAGGTTCTTTACAGGCCTGTTGTGCTATTTGTAATTGGTAGTTTTTGTATTAATTTTTGTACAGCATTGATTGAAGTAGCCGGCGAAAACATCGTAGTAGCCGATCGAATGCGCCGGCCGCCGGCTCTTAAATAAACCCCTGTATGAACATGGAAAAATTTGTAGTAAACCATTAAATATATGTGCTTTTGTGACATTTCGATCCGTTATCCATGGATATTCTACAATTACTGGTACCGTACCTGTATATAATGATTTACTTACAAGAATTTTGTCATGTTTATGCCTTTGTTATCATATTGATGATTTTATATAACAGTCTACTATGCAAAATGGACTCACTAATGATAACAATGTTCTTTAATATTTAATACAGTTTAATACATGTGTAGTATAGTATCTGTCTCTTATACACATCTAGATGTGTATAAGAGACAGGGGTTTACAGTACATTGCAACTCCAGCTCATAGACGTGACTGCAAGTGTATGCCTTCCATATGCGTTGAGGTATCCTCCAAGGATATATGTATATAACGTCAACCTCAATCTCTTCCATTGCAAGGAATTCGAACAACATTCCAACCACCTTGTTGATTGGCTAGATGTCAATGAACCAATAATTTCAAAGGAGATCAACCTAAAATGTCCATTGGAATCAATACAGCAACAACTTGCTCAAGCCGAGGTATGATTAAAATGTCTATATCATTGGGATAAACCGTTTTAAAATAGAACAGGCCACCACAAGCAAACCTTTTCTCAAACAATAATCCTCATCCCCTATTTGACGTTATGGGAATAAGGAGCATCCTTGTGCTGTGTGAAGCTTTTTTTATACAGTACAGTGTACTGACGGAACATTTTTTTTATTATTATTAAAATTATTAGTATTACTATTATTAAATATATAGAGGTCGCTCTTTAATTTTTGAGCCCCCTAAACCACCACAACAATGGGTTTGGAAGCACCCCAAAAAAAAAAATCCTCATTGCTTTAAGTTCGTATTCATTTACCTTATTAGCATTTTGTCATATTTCATCCAAATGAATAATCCCAATTTAACTTTTTTTTGTATATGTTATATGATATTTTAAATATTTTATTAGGATATTTGTGTTGAAGCACAAACTGAGAGAAAGTGCGTGGATGCAATGACAGAAACTGCTAGCTTGATGAATGGCGTGATGGATGACACATCGCAAGAGATACTGAGCAACAAACTTGCAAGACTTCAAGAAAGATATGAGAGGTAAAGATTCCACAATGCTATGCATGAATATGATAATTGGAGCCATATTGTATCTTAATCATCATCATCTTCATCATCTTGTTCTCATCAATATCATTATCATAACATCATCGTATTATTTTCATGAAAAAAACTTCATCATTATCATCATCTTCCATTATCATCACCATCCTCATCATGATCACCAGCAGAATCTTATCATAATAATCATCTTTATCAATATCATCATCCTCATCAATATCATCATCCTCATCTTCATTTACACCACACTCTTCACTAATTTATGCCTTAATTTTTAGTCTTAAGCAGGATGATTTGTGTTTTTATCAATTCCAGTTTCTGTTTTCTTTTGTCTGATCTATATTCCTTTTGGTATTCTTGTTGGTTGTTTTTCAGTATGGTTTTATTTTTTTTTTTTGCTAAGACATTTCTATACTTGGTAATCTTAACATGTGTATGTTCCAAATTGCTTTATTACTTCAATTCAATTGTTTTGTGATTTTATGTATATATATTCCCTTTACAGCATACAATAGGCATCTATACTTTGCTTGAGTGTCGACCTAGAAAGTGTATAGCTTGGTAATGGTTATACTTTATAGACAAGAACAGAACAGGAACACCAAACAAAATCATTAGTTTAGAAACATTAGCATGGATATATTTTGAATTTAACAAACTTTAATCTTTCAGTGTTGCAACAGAAGCAAATGAAAAAGTACAGAAGTTGCAGTCAGTAATTAAACAGAGACAAGCCTTCGAGAGTCAGATTGCCAAGTGTGAAAGCATGCTTGATGACCTGACAAAGCTAACTGAAGAATTCAAAGAACCCTTTTCACACACAGTTGAATTTGTACAGGATAAACTTCAGAAGTGCTTGGTAAGAAATTATCCTTCTCATAATATTTGTTCCCATATTGGTTATTTTATGTCAATTGTATTTGGACTAATTTTCCTTTGGGCACTTGCATATATGTTATATTAATAAAATGATGAATTAATGAATTGCAATAGTAAGCAATTTTTGCACAATTTAAGATGGCAAAGTGATATTAATGGGTCAAATGATGACATGGTTATTGACTTCTAATACAAAATATTAACATATGTGTATTATAACTATTGACTAATGAATACAAATCATATGTAAAACATTTTAATATCCTATAATAGACAGATTCTAAAGTGTTTCATGTTTACTTACCTGGATAAACCGACTAATTGCATTATTCCCTTAATCCCGAACACTAACTAAAAATGATAAGACAGTCCGTACCAATGCACATGGTTCAATTAATATTTAAAATTTTATTTACTAGAATGTAAGAGCCAAATTAACAGCTAGTCAGCCACCAGTAGAAGCATTACGACACAGGAGTGACTTCATGTACAAAGCCGGTCAAGTTGACTACACGCATAAGGTGTCAAACGTCAATCATGTGTACTCAGAACTGGTCAACATGACTGACCATTACAAGAAGAACTTAGAAGATGCTGTAACTACACGTGAAGACTCTCAGAAGTTTATCAGCGAACTACAGTTTTGTCTGGAGCACTGTTATAGTGACATGGTAGAACTAGATCAACCAGGCATTGTGGCTGAACAGAAACTTGAGAAGTGCATGGTAATTAAAATCATGTAACATTTTTACACACAAATTGTGTGGTCTATTTAGTGAAGACTTACCTGGATAAACCGATATATGCCAGATTCCTAATGGAACTTACCTGCAAAAAATAATTGAATGGTCTAACCCAGGCATTTATAACTCATCTGCGTTTTACGTAGCCAGAAAGAATCTTACCTTGTGTAGAGAGAAACAATAAACCACATGCTTTCGTTGTTGTTTAAGGCTTTTGTAGCAGGATGTCTTCCCGGAGGTGTTCTTGCTCAGTTTGTGGTGGGCCTAGGCCTACCCCTAAAGTGGATCGTCACTTGGAGTGCCCCTTGTGCCGATCGTGTGCCAGGGGTCACAGTGTGAGGTTTGCCTACTCTGCCCCAACACAAATTTCGCCATGCCCAGGCCTTGCTTCGATTCTCCCTGAGGAATTGTTACGTTTTGTGAATGAGCAAGTTGATCGTGCATATGCTGCATGTGAAGGTCAGATGGCTCCCCAGGTGCCTCCTGTTTCCCTTTCTGCTGGGCCGGTGCCCCTCAGGCTAATCTGGTCCCACCTATTCCTGTTTTGAGGGCGGCCCTTCATGTTTCGGTCACGGTCACTTCTGATTTGTGTGTTCTCTAAAATATCTAATCTAACTTCCATAAATTATTTTTTGTGTAGAAAATCCAATGGATCTCACTATTTTTAAAATTTCAGTGAAATATACAATAATTTTATTGAGATATTATAACACAGAACAAATGAATTTCCTCATTCCCTTTTCGACGTTGTTCGAAGTTGGATACACCCAGCCTTTGAAATTACTTGCAGTCTTTTCAAGCTATCTTATTTTGCCTTGGATTTATTTTCAACTTGCAAGATATCCTTTGTTTGTTGTAGTCTCGATCGACATGTCCGCTCGCAAGTCAGTTGATTTGTGTAGTCTATTTAGTGAAGACTTACCTGGATAAACCGATATATGCCAGATTCCTAATGGAACTTACCTGCAAAAAATAATTGAATGGTCTAACCCAGGCATTTATAACTCATCTGCGTTTTACGTAGCCAGAAAGAATCTTACCTTGTGTAGAGAGAAACAATAAACCACATGCTTTCGTTGTTGTTTAAGGCTTTTGTAGCAGGATGTCTTCCCGGAGGTGTTCTTGCTCAGTTTGTGGTGGGCCTAGGCCTACCCCTAAAGTGGATCGTCACTTGGAGTGCCCCTTGTGCCGATCGTGTGCCAGGGGTCACAGTGTGAGGTTTGCCTACTCTGGCCCAACACAAATTTCGCCATGCCCAGGCCTTGCTTCGATTCTCCCTGAGGAATTGTTACGTTTTGTGAATGAGCAAGTTGATCGTGCATATGCTGCATGTGAAGGTCAGATGGCTCCCTAGGCGCCTCCTGTTTCCCTTTCTGCTGGGCCGGTGCCCCTCAGGCTAATCTGGTCCCACCTATTCCTGTTTTGAGGGCGGCCCTTCATGTTTCGGTCACGGTCACTTGTGATTTGTGTGTTCTCTAAAATATCTAATCTAACTTCCATAAATTATTTTTTGTGTAGAAAATCCAATGGATCTCACTATTTTTAAAATTTCAGTGAAATATACAATAATTTTATTGAGATATTATAACACAGAACAAATGAATTTAATTATAAGTCTGTTTGAACACCTATTTTCTTCTTTTTAGTCTTTGCTATCTGAGTTGACGTCCAAAGAACCAGTACTAGAGAACCTTGAAGCCAAAGCTGCTCAGATTATAAAACAAGGAGATGAAAGTGACAGAAAGGCCATGGAATCAATCATTGGTAGACTTACTGCTAACATCACGGACACCAAGAATAACCTTCAGCAAAGAGCTGATAGCCTAGCAGATGCTATCAACCGGAAGGATACATTAGATATGGATATTAAAGCAGCCTTGAGGCGGATGATGGATACAGCTGTAGGCCTCACCAAGGAAGAACCAATGGCACTTGCAGTGGATGCTGCTGAAGAGACTCTCAAGAAATTCAAGGTATGGCATGATATACAGCAGTTAAAATATATTTATTTTTGTAATACAAATTTAAAGTGCATCTCTATTACTTACCATGTGGTTTTCTTCTTAGGGTAAACTTCCAGGGTTAGAAGAAGAGCTAGCAAAAGCAACTGACTTGGTAGCAGATGTAAAGAAGAGCTACAGCGACTTCAGTGAGCCAATGCCCCCACAGCTAGTTCACAAATTAGATCAAATTGGGAACCTAAATAGTAAGGTGGCACAGGCCTTGAATGCAAAGCTGAAGAAACAGGAAGATGGTGTGGAATGTAGAAGAGTCTTCCAGGATGAACTGAAGCAGCTCAAAGATTGGCTAGTGGAAGCAGAGAAGGCCCTCAATGAAGCTAAGAAAGGAGCTAATTTTAGTGATCTAGGTAGTCAAATCCATGACCATGAGGTAATAGTCATCATATGAAATAGGTTATTTTCCCTTTGGACACACCACTAGACCCGACCTTATTTTTTATCATTCATTAATTCTTTTAATGTTAAAACTTCTTCATCTCAATTATGTGATGCCCTCAGCTTTGAAAATGTACTACTGCAGTCAACTACTGTATCAATGAAACAGCGCCACTGTTCTAGTTCCCTCTTTTTCCACTTATTTGTTTGTTGTTTTTTTTGTGTTAGTTTATAAAGCGCTTGTCAGTTGTTGTAATAAATATTTAGATTGCTGAAATACCTCACTATACCTCACCTTAACCATTAGGTGAATTCTACTTCATCTAAATAAGGATAGAGTGAATTGTGATCTTGTTTCCTTTAGGAATTCTTTAAGAAGGAACCGGACATTCAGGATATGATGGATGATGTGGTGGAATTGGCTGCAAGAATTTCATCATCATTACCAAATGAAGACAACATAAATATGAAAGATGAGTTGAAAAATGTGAACATTCGATTAAATGATGTGTCTGATACAGCTGGCACAGTGTCAGAGCAACTAAATGGCTGTCAAAATGACTGGGATAAGTTCTGTAATCAAATCCAAGATATTGAGTCAGAGTTGTTGGCTATTGGAGAACGTGCTGTTTATATTAATCCAGCAACTGAAGAAATTGCAAAAGAAAACCAACTGCTTAACAAGGTATTTGCCATTTATTCTCATTTTTAGAGTGTAACAATGACATGGTGGTATAAGACGGTTTCCTTCCAGTGTCCTATGTTCAATTTTTGGCTAGATTATTCTTAACTGAAAAGATCTCCTCTCAAGCTTTCGAAAAAGATGTTGGTTTTCTTTATAGAACTTGTCTAAAAATGAGAGGAATTGACTCTCATGGTCTCAAGTAAGATAGATGTCATGGATTGAGACACACCTATACAGTTAGTCCAGTAATTCCATAATGTGTAAGAGAAACTGTTCTGCAAAGTGAAATTTGGCATTTGTCAGTTTACCTTGGTAATTTTCTCACTCATATACAATCAGAATCTCTCCAGATTGTTTATATTTTTTAAAAAGATGGGATTTGAAAACAAATTGTTGTGTTTGCTGTTATATTATCTGGAAAAAAATCGTTGGTGGTAATATTTGTAATTTTACTTACTTAAGGAGCTCTGTGACCAGATTGAAGCAGTTGATGTTTGTTTGCAAGACTTAAAAAAGATGGCAGACAACCTTGAAAAAGATGCAAATGATGATGGTTGCCAAGCAATCCATGATTCCATCGAGCCACTAGTCACACATTTCAATACAGTCAAAGATGAACAAGAGGAGCGCAGACTGAATTTGAAAGCCATTGCTGACAAATGGAAAAAGTATAATGATTGTTTGAAGGAAGCCAATGAAGTTATAGATAATGCCACAAACTATATGCCGGAGGAGTTAACATTTGGTGTACCAACAGAAGAGCTTATACAGCAACTGCAGAATTCAAAAGTAATTATTCATTTTGAGATAAATATTTATTAAACATTCTTATCCTTAACATGTAAATATGTAAAAAATATTTTTGTTCTTTATTTTTCCAAAATAACACATTTTGTTTTGATTTGTCAACTTATAAACTTTTATTTATTTTTTAATTGCAATTTTTTTCGTTATTCCTTTGTGCTTACCTGTATGGTTAAAAAGAAAAGTTTTAATGGAGATATTTGTTATTTCAATTGATTGATAGGCTGCTAATATGAAACTTGAGGAGGGAAGGCCATTGATGGAGAACCTACAAGAAGCAGCTCAACAGCTTTGTGAACAAGTACAGGATTTGGAGTGCATACAACCAGTTGAAAAGGCTTGTAAGGCTGCAGAACAAACATCACAAAGGTAATCCTTTGTTTTTTGCCAGGTTTAGAAGTTGCGAATCTATAGCAGTACTAAATTTGTGCCAGATATTTCAATAGATAAAATCTCTGTGTGTGCTGAATTGTTGAAATCTATTGGCACCCCCTGTTCAATTCCCATCTCTGCTCTCCATGTATTTCAGCTGGAAGACTTAATGCAAGTTACAATAGCGCACTGTCTTTTGTTTAAGCTGTTGGTCTCCTGTGCACCATCATCCATGTGCATATTAAAGTATGCAGTACACAAAAAAAAATAGTTCTGTCCAATCATCAGCAGAAGGACCCACTGGAAATAACTCTTCTTCATACTTTTGTGGGTTATCCTTAGTGTTTACACTGAATAAATCTATCAATTCATCCATTGAAATATTAAAGATGTAGTTCTGCCAAAAGTAATTAACTTGAAAATTGTATTAAAAATAAATCTACAGTAAATGACAGATAACAGACTAAGAAAATGTATTTACTACCTAGCTTTTGTTCACACAGGTGGAAAAACAATAAATTCTGTATTTTTTGGTATGCTAGAAGAACTACATTAAATTGTGGCCACCAATTAACCAGAACTTTTGTGTTTTTTAAAATAAGCAATTCAAAGTTTTATTATAATTTAACAGGTTTTCCTCATTTTGTGATTAGCAGTATGTCTTCAATCTTCATGTATATTTTAGGATGTTGGATGCAACACAGAAGCAGATGGCAGAACTTCAGACTGCTCTAGAAGATCGGCATAGCTATGAGGAAGAGATTGATGCCTGTGACCATGCTTTGGATGAACTGGAGTCTCTTTTACACAGTATTGACCTCCCATGTAGTTACACTGTAGAAGATGCCCAAATGCAGCTGAGCCAACATCAGGTAGATAAAAAAAATGTCATGGTCACATTTCCTAGAAAGAGGAAAAGCAATAATAATAATAAGAAAAAAACAAACAAACAAGCAAAAAACAGTTGGAGAACATTCATAAAATGCTTGCACTTAAATTCATGAGAATTTTTAATTTGTCTTTGAATATAGCATGTAAAGGAACCTATTCACTGTATTTCCTAATGATTTGGATACTCGGTAACCATTAATATAACGTAGAGTTGACAGATAACAGTTTAAAACATCATTTAATTTTTTTACTGATATATATCTTTTCCGTTTAAAAATACAAATTAATTTGAATAAAAAATGTTGACTTAACAGGACTTGAAAGACAGAATTGGTGCCTATGAACCAGTCATTGATATTCTGAAACAGAAGCAAGCTGCCATGCATGAGAAAGGCCAGATTGACCATGCTGAGGATGTAGAGAAGCTGGAAGCCCTCCACAATACTCTACTTGACAAGTTAGAGGACAAGTGCACTCAGCTTGAAGAAGCTGTGGCTGTCAGAGAAAAGTTCCATGATGGAATTGAAAAACTAAAGAACTTTGTAAAGAAGAGTGAAAATGAAGTAGAAGGATGGGAAGAACCAGGAACCATTGCGGAGGAAAAGTTGGACAGTTGTAATGTAGGTTATTTTAAATATTTATTTTGTTTAATAATGTTAACAAATAATATTATTATGTTTTACCCAAACTTCATTACACCTGATGAAGATGAATTCTACTGTCAGCATACAGTAAATATCATCAACTATTTAAGATTCTGCCTGATTTTTTTTTAAGTAATCAAAAAAATGTCAGAGATTTCTGCAGTGAAATACTGTACTTTTTTGCAATTGTCTTTTTTCTGATAATCTTTACCAGGCTCTGGTTACTGAGCTGCAATGCAAGGAAGACTTGATTGCTGAATTAAACAGTTTACGTGGAGAGATTGCTGAGCTTGGGGAGCCGGAGGATACACAAGCCCTTGATAAACTGATGAGTAAAGTCACCGATGACATCTCCAAGTTGGAGGACATACTGCGCAAGGATAAAGATGAGTTTGTTGCTGGTGTGCAGAAGAAGGATGAGTTGGGAAAGGTGATAGAAGAAATGACAGAGTGGATGGAAGAAACAGTTGCTAACTTCCAACGTGATGTTCCTATTGGAATGACTGCAGCCAGTGCTGGAGTTTCATTGGAGCAACACAAGGTTTGAATTCTTCATATTGAAAACAATTTGTAAAAGTCTATATGATGGGGATGATGATGATGACGGTGACGATGATTATGACGATGACAATGATCAGATGATAGTCTGTCTCTTATACACATCTAGATGTGTATAAGAGACAGTATATATACATACACACAAAGGCAAAAAATTATACATATGTTTATTACATTTTTATAGAGCAAACAACCAGAGATCCAAGAACAGATTAAAATTGCCAAACAACTTGTAATTGATACAAGACAAAAATATGAAGAGTTAAGAGAACCAGTTCCACCAGCACTTGATGAAAAACTCAACCAAATAAGTTCAGACTGCACCAGACTAATATCAGCAGTAGAGCAAAAAGGAGAGATGTATGAAAAGGCATTGAGCTTGCGGGAAGAATTTGAAGAAATATTAGAGTCATTGGAAGAACAGCTTGAAAGAGGAGAGCGAGTTCTTAGCTCTGAAATTGAAGGCATTAATTTCTCTAACATTGATGCACAGATTCAAGATCACAAGGTATGTTTGAACTCAGGCAGATTCACTAGGGTGTAATTTTAAGACACTTATTCCAAAAAATGGCATATAACATGCTGCTATACTTTTTTAGGATGCTTTTGATGATGAAACATCTTACCTGGAAAAGATTGAGACGCTGGATGAACTAGCAGAGAACATCTCACCATCTCTACAGCCTGATGAGTATATTTCCTTAAAAGAGAAAATGACAACACTGAACCAACGGCTCTCTGAGGACCTGGCACTTGCAAGAGAGAATGACAGAACATTGGAGGAGAGTCGTGGTGCATGGCAGGATTTCGTAAGCAATACTGATGAGGTTCAAGCAGCATTAGCAACTCTCGAACAAAGGGCAAATTATGCAGTTCCTAATTCACTGCAGGTTGCTCAAGAGAATGTACTATTAAACAAGGTATGTCAGGACTTCATATTCCTAATATTTTATTCAAGTTCAAAAAAATATATGTTACTTGAATGATATGATAATAATAATATGTATAAATATATTTCAGAGCATTGAAAAGGAGGTGTGGTTGCAGAGCATGGCCATGAGACAACTTGAGAACCAGTGCCAAGCCCTTATGCAACTTGGCAGTGATCCTGGACAAGCCACAGTTGAAACTAAAATTCAACCAATCAAAGACCAACTGGAGATGCTCAAGTCTGATTGTGCTACAGAGACCCCACAACTGCAAGACGTGGTTGACAAATGGCAGGACTACCAAGATGCATTGCAAGATGTCAATGATGTCATTATTGATTCTGTGCAGTTTGTCCCAGTATCAGTGCCACTTAATCTGCCAACAGAAGACATCAATCAACAGCTTAATAATGCTCAGGTAAATAATTAACACAACAATCATACATCATCATTTTCATTAAATCAAAGTGTGAACCTTTCCTTCCATCCATATTGTTTTGGATTAGAAATGAAAGAATGTTAACATTTATTAAACCAAGGTTCTTTATATTTGTACTATTTTTAAAATTATATGTAATGTTAAAATTTTGGTTATTAACATAAGATAAGATAAAATAACATTTATTGTCCAATAAAACAACTGGAAATTGTTTATTTATATTAAATTAAATTGTTTATTGGTAATATTTCATGATACATGTGCAAAAATCATGGATTAATCTTTTGATCTGTGATTTATTTATTTACTTGAAACGTTTGACAGAAACAGGGCATCATTTAGAGAAACAAACAACTACTCTACAGCTTTTACATGGGACGCAGGTGGAAAGCCATGATCGCCAATGTCACTAGTAATGGCACCTGAATAAGAATTAAAATTTTTATTTCATTTTTGAGGTTTTTCTTGATACTTGGGTGTCAATTTATTTCTAATTAATTGCAATGTTCTTACATTGCTTTTGTTTATTTTACAAGGTTGCAAGTGAGATCTTAGCCGAGGGAGAGAATAAGCTTTTAAAGTTGCAAGAGGCTACAAAAGCATTGGTTGAATGCATTGGCGATGAAGATATCAGTGAACCAACAACTAAAGATCTTGAAAATATTTCTGAAAAATACCAAAGGTAATTTAAACTTTTTGTGTTTATTGAATTTCAAATTTAGAGAAGAATTTGTTGGTAAGATCTTTCAAAATCTTTATTTTTTCAGCCAAATTTAGAAATTTTATTTTTTGTTTTTAAAATTGATTTGAGTAATTTTAACCTTGAAACGATTAATTGTTCAGAGTATCAGATGCCGCAAAAGAACAAGTGGAAAGACTGGCTGATGCAATCCAAGAACGAGCAGACTATGAGACACAAATTGATGCTTGTAAAAATGACCTGTGCAATCTGGAGAAATTACATGAGAACCTGAATAAGCCAATTGGCTTTAATATTACTGATGCGGAGGAGTCACTTAGAGAATGCCGGGTAAGTTTTAGACACTGAAGAAGAACAGTGCTCTTGCGTCAAAATGTCCAGGATAAATATGAATTATATTGACATTATGACAATATAGTGCATATTGTGCCTTGTAGATCAAATAAAATGTATTTCAATGATCACACAAATTTTTGTTTCTGAAACCTTCAAGGAGAAAACATGTATAAGATGATATAAAATAAAATGAGATGTAGTTAATCTTTAACATTTATATATAACTTCTATTTAGGATTTGCAGTCCCAGTTAGCTCTTCAACTTCCACTGTTAGAACAACTAAAAGAAAAGAAAGACGAGATGACCAGTAAAGGGCAGATAGATCATGCAGAGAAAGTGCAGGAGCAAATTGACTTACTTGACAGTCTGATAAAAACCTGTGATCAAAAGTGTGAAAAACTTGAAGGTGCTCTAGCTGACAGGATGGCCTTCCATGAAGACTTGTTGTCTGTTCAGGGGCAGATGCATCATTGTCAATCTGAGCTAAAAGAAATGCAAGAAGCTGGAGCCTCACCAGAAGATCAACTAAACAAAAGTCAGGTTAGTGTTTCTGTTTACTTCTTAACTTCTTGGATAACCTAAGAATTTTATTAGACTAGGCAACTGCTCCACTGACATAGTACCAACAAGTCTTTTTTGTGAATACATACCTGGATAACCGAATAATTGTTAAAAATTTGCCCATACCTGTACCACATGACGATGCCGATGCCAATGCACAAAATATTGGTGTGGTGTACAGCAGTGCTCTAAATAATGCAATCTTCCTCATTTTCTTTTCTGATTTGTGTATTCAAATATAATGTCAGTAGGTTGATGTAGTCTATTTTGTGAATAATTACCTGGATAAACCAACTAATTGTCTTGTTCCTGAAATGGAACACCCATTCGATTAGGCATATGGATGTAGTATAAAATAATATTTGTAAATAGTAAGCAGGTCCATAAAAGAATAGAGTTTTATACTCCTTCCCCATCTACCATCTCCTAATTATTTTTATATTGAAGGGGAGTGAATGAAGATATATGAAATTATGAAACTAATCTGGATTATTTTGTTTGTTGTGGAAATAAAATAGTTTATGTTTGTGCAATTTAGGAATTTAAAGAAATTCTGAAAGAGTTGCAGCCAAAGATAGAGCAACTAGAGGCAAACGGTCAGCTGCTTGCCATTGAAGGTATCAGCAGAGATCAATCAATGTTGTCAGCAACAATGAAAACTCTCAAAGAGGACTTAGATGTCACACTTCAAGATCTTGAGCAAGAAGAGGCAAATATCAAAGACAAGGTTTTGGAAAAAGAGAAACTGACTGCTGAGGTTGGAGACATGCTGGCATGGCTGGAAGGGATCAAAGACACCATGCTTGCAGAGGATCCCATTGGAATTGATGTCCAACAAGCTGAGGAGTTGTTGCAGATTCACCAGGTATATAATTGAAACTTACAGATCCATCTATTACTTTTATTGTCTTATTAAAAAGAATAACAGGTAAAATAATAGTTATATTTATATAGCAAATATCTACTAGTTGTTTATTTTATATGAACAATATTCAGTAAGAGAGAACCATGTAGTTATTGCTAATTATTTTGCTACTTAAGATTTTATATTACAAGTAACAAAATAAATGGAATCTTAACAAAAATAATGATTAATTAACCATTAACATTGTTCGAGATTATTTTACTCAATGCAGAAATTACCTGTATAGACTGCTTCATTAATAATATACCATGTGCCAATTTACTTCCTGGGTGGACAGAAGCAAAGGTAAATGGACACAAACTGGAGGTCAAACTCCTGATTGTAAGCCCAAAAGCTTACCACACACTAAAGTAAACTCTAGAGGGAGTGATGTGGTATTACTATGCCAACTAACCAATAGAGTTATAAAAAGATAAAGTGACTTGATTATGCCAAGTATCTTTTAATTTTATTTCTTTGCTCTTGTTAAAATTCATTTTTTTTTTTTTATTATAGTCGGAAATACCAGATGTTGAAAATATGTTACAGAGGGCTCAAGCTATCATCATCACCACACACACAAAGTTTGCCAGGCTTGGAGATCAAGTCCCAGATGAGATACAAGAACAGCTTGCCGAGATTGATAACTTACATTCGCAAGTTCTTCAGGCAGCTAAGCAGAAGGAAGAAAGTCTGGAGTATGCTGCTAGGATCAGGGAAGAGTTTAATCAGAGGTCAGAAGAGATTGAAGACTGGATAGCTGAGGCTAAGAAATTAATTGAAGAAGAAAATCAAGGCATTGATTTTGGAATAGTTAAGAACCAGATGCAGAAACATCAGGTATGTGAAACAGACGTGCTTGTAAAAGATAAATTGATCAGTTGAGAGATGGGGGTAGTGTGTGTCTAAAGTCAAACTACAGCTGGTCCCTCACTGCCCCCAATGGTTGACGGCCAGCGTGATTTTATGGAGTATGCAACTCCACGATGCACATGCAATGGATCATTTTTAATGCCAATCTGTTCAGACTGCGACCGACAATCAGCAGGGAGTGGAGTTGGGTTCGTCGACCTACAGTCATACAAAGCATTGATGCCGGGCTTAAAACTTTAAAATAAAAGCTTAACTCACAATGCTGATTGGTTATAAAGTGGTTCACACTATGTTTTAAGTGCACTATGGTCCCATCTTAGACTTGATATTTGATTGACAGTTCTATGCTTTAGCTGACTGATCCATGGCTAGCTCAATGCTGATTTTTTTTAATTGTTTACTGTAATAAATACCACTGCTTCGCATTTAATATATTGCTTTAATTCAAAAGATAAAAAATGCATTCTTCAGAATAAAAAGATTTAATGAATTGTGGAATAGCCTTTTAAAATTACACTGTCTGCAGTTCAGGATCTTCATGAAAAAATTTAACTCCTTATCTTACAAGTATTAATTGACTTATAAGCCTCCAATGAGACAAAGATTGAAAAAATTCTGTTTATTCCATTCTACAAGCTTTTTACAACAAAATTCTTAAATTATTAACAAAAAATATTTAGGATGTATGTAAACAGCAGACCAATGCCATTGTTTGTACATTTGTAAATTAGCCAAAAAAAAGTCCAGAGAAACCTAATAAATTGAAATACAGTATAAACAATGTACAGTGGCCTCCTTTCTGAAGTAAAGACATAAAATGTATGTGCATGTTACTTCCGACGCGTGTTCACACGATACCTACCCATGGTATAATGTTCTTTTTACTTGAAAGCTAGTTCAAAGCTTAGAAGTAACCATACAAATTTTCCGAAAGTAATAATCCCAACTTTTGTTGTCTCTCAATGATGATTTTGCACACAAATTCTTAAAATTGTAAACAATTATGAAAACATTGTCTGATTGTGCCTACAGAGTTTGTATTAAAATTTTTAAATTTTATCTTTGTGTAATGTGATTGTGTTGTAAGAAATCATTTTTATTAATTTAAAGGACTTTTTTGATGAGCTGCCAAACTATGAAACCAAAATGGAAGACTTGTCTCAGCTTGGCGGGAATATTGCCAATAGTCTGCCAGCAGACGACAAAGCTGCAATGATAGCCCAGCTTCAGAGGTTATCATCAGGTCTGAAAGAAGTATCAACGGCATCAGCAGAATGTGAAGAGATGTTAGAGAAGGGCATCGGCGATTGGGAGACTTTCAAAGACAGAGTGGAAGAGCTTGAAAAGAAAGTTAATGTCCTCGAAAAAAAAGATAAAATGGCAACACCTTCAACTATTGATATTGCAAAAGAAAACCAACTACTGAATCAGGTAAAATATAGATTTCTTTCCAAAAGGTAGCCATATGCTCCCATTGGTCTATTCAAATAATAAATTGATACCTTAGGCAAAATATAATAGTTGTTCAACAATAACATATTATAATAATTATTATTATTATTATTATTATTATTATTATTATTATTATTATTATTAATTTTTGTTTGTTCATGTGATTCATTAATTTTGTTTGCTTTAATCCATGGTTAGATAGGCTCACACCCATGCCTATTTATTCAAATTATTAGATTACTGACATCCCATTGTCCTGACTGAGATCAGAATTAACTTCAAAATTTTCCCTGTACCTTCAACTTCTTCCAAATTCAAGCCTAATTTTTTATTGTTCTCTGCCATCCAGGTTACATGACCAAACCATCTTAAATCATGCAGTAATATATTTAATTGAATTTATTTTTTAATTTATCAAATTTTCAGAATATAGCTAAGGACTTGCAGACCTTACAACCAGAATTTGTATCGCTTGAGGAAGAAGCTATGAACCTTGACAATAAAGCTAATGACCAGGGAAAGAAGACAGTTGCACTCCAGATAAAACCTCTCGAAGAAGGCATCTTAGACCTGAGACAGCATCTTAAGAAAGAAGAACTTCAGTTGCAAGATATGCTACAGAAGTGGAATGACTATCATGAATCTATGCAAGCAGTTGAAGCTGTTATAGCTGATGCAAACCAGTTTATACCGGATAATCTATCCCATGATGCTCCATATGATGCCTTGCTTCAACATTTGGACAATGCTACGGTAGTTACTTTCATTTAAAAAAAAAAATTTTCTGTTCAATGTTTTAATAATCTTTTGTAACTTACAATTTATACTTTACATAATCTTGGTTCTTATTTTATCAGATGTTTAAAAAAATTAATTAAAATTCAAAAATTAATTAAAATCAAAAATATTTTGCAAAATACGTATTAAAATATTGAACAAATACCAAATGGTTTTGTATGTCTATTTTTTAAATACTTACCTGGATAAACAAACCAATTGCCACTTGTTCCTTTAAGAACACCCACGACAAAAATAGAATCGTCCAATTGTCCCAGCATGTGATTGCGCCCACACCCAAGCGTTGTCCTCATTTCTGATTTGTGTAGTCTATTTCGTGAATACTTACCTGGATAACCGATTAAACACCCCTTCAAAAAAAATAGAACAGTCCGACCCAGGGTGCCACGTACAAACCGCCTCCCTAACAATCGTCCTCACTCCCTATTCGACTGTGTTTGACATTAGAGCTCCCCTTTGTGACTAATAAAGTATTATAGCCATGTGCTTTTTTATCGAGAAATTGTGTTATTTTCTTGGAAGAAGATTAGAAGAAAAAGCTTTGATTTATATATTTTATTTCTTGGATTACGAATTTGTGTTGATTTCAAGAATTTAATGACATATCCTTTGTTTTAGCTTTTGATTTAGTAGTCTGTACACTGTGTATTTTGTAGCACTTTCCACAATATGAATCTCTGGTCATCGATCTCCTAGCCCAAGATTGCAGAATGCAATATATGAACAAAATTTAATGTATTTCATTGAGGTATAAAAGTGTACATGTATACGAAAAAAAAGGACTGATTATGATGATATCAGAGGCATTGAATTCTAGTTTAAACACAACCCTTTTATATTCATTTATTTTTTCTTCTAGTTGGCCAATGAAAAGTTGTTTACTGGAGAACCTAAGCTTGTTCATCACAAGAATGCAACAGATGATCTCATTGATCAGATCAAATCTGCAAAGAGCTCTCATCCAATCAAAGATGACTTCCAAAAGCTACAGGAAACATATCATAGGTATGTATAGATTAATTAGAAGCAGCCATACATTAGTTAATAACTCATTTAATTGAGCTGATGTTTAACATCCTGTTCCTAAAATTAAAATTAAAGTGAAACCAAGTTCAAAATGAGTTTCTTTTATGTGCAGTCATTTATCTAAATTGCATCATACCTTCCTGTATGACTGGCAACAGTATTAATGCACTGTATACTGTATATCTAATATGTACTTGTTACTGCTGCATGTAATAAACATTTTGTTTTTTCAAATGGTATATGATTATTCATTATTGTTTATTATTATTATTATTATTATTGTTATGAATGATTAAGAAAATAACTTTTGATGATAATGTTTTAAAATGAAAATTAATTATAAAATCTGCCTATTCTGCAAATATATGTCATTTTTTGTTCTGTGACCATCATCAACTTTTGTAAGGTTTACAGTATGTATTATATGATTCTAACAATGTTGTTAAATTATTAGTATTATTTTTATTGTTTTTGTTGTCATTTCCATTATTATCATTTTTCCATTGTTAATAATATATACTATTATTATTGATATAATATTATAGTATTATATTAATATAATTAGAAATATATTCTGTTGAATTATTGGAAAAATGTTCATTTTTATGTTATTATTAACAATAGTTTACTAATATTATTGATGAAATATTTATTATATTAATATTATAATTATAGAAATATATTCTGTTGCATTATAAGAAAAATATTTTTAAAGTACTAAGAATATAATCTTAAGCTTGTTTTCACTCTTACGCTGCAGAGATGCAGTCTGAGAGCCAGACTAGGTATGACACTGAGGTGTCATTGATAGTAAAACATGGTTATAAACCTCACTGTGTTTGTCTGTATCTTTAGCTGTAACTGCATATTTTAATGTTGATTGTTTTATCAGGATTCTTTGTTTTATAAGGATACATTGTAAAGATAAAGATATTTAAACAAAAATAGACTTTCATATATTAATATAATTAACGTGTAATGGTAACACAGGGTTGTAACTGTAGAAAAATAAGGGTAGGTGATAGATATTTTAAGGTGGGTGGGTGATTTACATTTACATTGGTAAACTCTAAATAATATGAGTGGATTTTAAGAATGGAAAAGTGAGTTAATAAGTGTGGGTGGAGGGCCATGAAATTAGCTTTAGACTGGATGAAAAACTTAAAGGCTGGGTGGCCCTGCGCATTCTCCCTCCATAACTAAATCCCTGGTAACCCCGGTAATTGCTTCTTTTTGTTGACAATTTCTTTTAATGAAATCGCAACATTTCCTAGTAAATCATTTCATGTCCTCTCCTTTGAAGGCTTCAGAAATCTGCTTCCGAAAAACAGGCAATAATCAGCATTGAACTGGAGGAAAGAAGCAATGTGATGGAAATGCTCAGTGAAATTGAAGAGGGGTTGTGTGAATATAATGTAACAGCTTCAACCTTCAATGATAGTATTGGCCCAGCATTGGATGATGTTGACAATAAGCTGGAACACTCTAGGGTAAGAATTCGTTCCGTTTATCCAATTTCATTTTGTTGTTATCATAATTGAAAATTTGTACTACTATAGCTCCTTGGGTATAAGCCCACCCCCAGCTTTATGCCCAATTTTATGTACCAACCTTTCCTTGGGCAAAAGCCCAGTATATGACTTTTTTTTCAAATATTCTCAGAAAAAAAGTACAAATATTAGCTTTGAATTAGGCATACAGTGCTGAAAAATGATGATTAAAAGGCAATCCTCCAATTCACCCCAAAAAATTGGCCCAATTTTGTGTTCAAGGGGAGTGGGCTTATACATGAGAACTACAGTAATATAGTCTGTGTTCGTGTATTATAATGTTGATGTGCAACATTTATCCACGGCCATGCTCCGTTATATAAACAAATTTCTTTCCGCCCTGCTAATTTTTTCCCAATCTCGAAAACTACTTGTTCCATGAGTTAAATTAAACACAGCTGAGCGTTGTTTTCTTCTTTTCTTCTAAAACTATTTAATTCCCTTCCTCAAAAATTCTGTATTATTTCTGAAATTGTTGTAAGTCAACCTTAATTCTTTTTTTTCAATTAATTCAACTTCTTTTATAACTTCTGTTAGAAGTACTGTTTTTAGGTTTAATAGACCCTACAAAAATGTTGAGATATATTATATCGATGTTAGTAATTATTTGCCTATCAAAATTAAAAACAGGAATATATGCCATGCTTGACAAGAAATGTTGAAATAAGCTCATTAAGAATGAACAAATAAGAGAATGAATTTAAAATAAGAGAATTTTTAGGAAAGCCTAAAACATGTGGCCATTATTTACAGTCAGTTTACCTACATTTTTTAGTATAATTGTATATTTTTGTAGGGTTCTGAAGGTCCTTAAGTATTGTCATTAAAGCCACTAATTAAGCCTTTTTCAAGGCTTTATTAGTGAGGCCTGTGGCAATTTGTCTAATTTTCTCTTCCATGTGGCTTATGTTACGCCTCGGATTTCACAGGAGATTCAAGAAGGAATCAGCAAAAAGTCTGCGGAACTAGATCGCATTGAAAGTGGCCAGGAGAGGAAGTACGTGGCCTATCACAGTGATCCACCGGCGGAGATTATCGCAGAGATTTGCAGACTAAGATGTTTGGTAAATGATGTTAGCCAACAACTGCAAGAGAATGAAGAGGAGCTTGATAGTGCAAATGAATTGAGAAGAAGCTTCCATGATCAAATAGAGCAGTTAGAAGATCAGATGAATGCCACTGCAGAAAGAATGCAGGAACCAATTGAAGCTGTCCCTGACGGCATCTTGTCTCAAGAGGTACAATCCATAACTCTCTACAAGTTTTTTTTATTGATGTTACAGTGATGAAAAGAAATTACTAAATTCCTAAATGTTTCTATTGCCTACTAAGAATTTAAAAGTATTAATGTTAATTGAATAACCCAAAAATATAATTATTGTTTCTTTCTTTGCCATGGAAATGATCTAATTATTGTTATACACTGTATATTAAAATTAATTGAAGGCTATCTAATATTGATTATCACAATCATTTTCATAGCAGTGTTTAAAATGGAATAGCCTTGTTTACAGCCTTTACCCTATACTGGTAATGGAACAGTCTGTTGTATCGTTTCCTGTGGCGGGAGTTACCTAATTGGATCAGTTATAACAGAGTGTTTCCTATGGCTCACCACATGTATTAAGTTGTATTTATTTTCTTTTTGCTAACTACTACAAGGATATTCACCATGAGATTCTCGGCCTAAGCCCAGCTCTGGAAGCTGTCCAAAACCAAGCTCAGCAAATTACAGAACAGACTGAAAACTGTGAAGAGAAGGAGCAGGTTATTGCTGTAGTGAATTCAATCCAACAGAAGTTGTCTGAGCTTCAGCATGACTCATCCAAAAAGGGGGAAAGGCTATCAGAGGCTGTAGAAATATGGGAGGCTTATCAAGATGCCTTGCATAGTGTTGAGGACTGGATACAAAAAAGCCAACCAATCATCGCAACTGATCTTGATCTCGATAACCCAGATGATGTTGCCAACCAGTTGCATGTTCATAAGGTTAGCAAAATGATTCATGAAAATAATAATACAAATTTATTTGTGTTTTGTGTGAAACATAAACACATTTTTATTTTATGTTACGATTATATAGCAATTAAGTAAACTATTAAATTATTAAGGAACTAAATAAAAAATTATGAATTTTAAAAATAATATAGGCTTAGTACATGAGAGTAAAACAACAGCTTTTTTTATTTTTAGCAATACATATTGACACTGCAAAAATAATGAAAAAATAAAAAGTTATTATTATTATTATTATTATTATTATTACTATCAAATGCTTAGATATTATTGTAAATAATGTATCATTCCACCACATTTTGTTCATAATTAAGATTTAATACTATGATGTGCTTTGTTCATCAAAATAGATATAATATTCTTGCTTGAAAAGCCTAACACAACCATGACCTTGTTATAAACTTTAATGAGGTCACAGGATAGCAGTAGTAGAATACAGTTGGACAGTGTTTATTTATAAATCTTAATGCTTTGAAGGGCAACTGACAGTTGTTTTTTTTTTTTTTTTTTCGTGAATACTTGATTAAGAATAAATACATTTAATTTAGCAGTCTATTTCGTGAATACTTACCTGGATAAACCGACTAATTGTTGGCTAATTGTTTGAGACAAATAAATGAAATGAAATAATTGCCATTGTTCCCAAACGGAACACCCCTTCAAAATAAATGGAACAGTCCAACCCAGGGCGCCACATACAAACCGTCTCCCTAACAATCTTCCTCATTCCCTTTTCGACCTTCGTTGGAAAGTGAACCTCCTTCAGAGTGCTCTATCATAGATTGATTTGTGTAATTGGTATATATTACACGTTTGCTTCAGTGTTGTTGAAATACCAACATTTAATAGTATGTTATTTTTGATGCGAATTTTCATGTAATCATTAAAAATTCTCAGTATATTTAAATTATTTGTTATATTAGGTTTTTAGTTAATCCTGTAGTTAACTTTTATAATATATTAATTTAATTAATTTGATATATGTATTTATTTATTATCATTTTGGATTATCACCAGTGTAGGTATTTCCCCATATCAAAATTACTCTCATTTAGTTTTTTAATTGCATTAATAAATAGAACCACTGTTTGTTTTATTTAATAATTATTCAGTATTTACATTGGTAATTTTTTTTTGGTAGGATGTTGTTGCTATATCACCAAGAATTCATGAAAATCTTGAAACAATGAATACAGCTGCAGGAAAGCTTGCTACTGTCTGCAACACAGCACCTTTAGTGGAGAAGGCTGTCGAGATGAATGAGGTAGCAACTGAACTTGAGTCGTCTGCTACACAACGCTTGCAAGCGCTAGAAAGACTGGCCAATGATTGGCAGGATTATCAGCAGCGAGCTCAGAAACTTGAGAAGGAACTTCAGGAGTTGAAAGAGATCCTGATGGATCCAGAGTCGAATGAGAAGAATTTGAATGAGCAACTTGAGCTAACGCAGGTGACTGAAATTAAATTATATTATGCAGACACTTGTGAACTTAAATTCAAACAGGTTCTTTCATATGGGTATTTGTATTGCTGATCATTTTTAGGGTGCATAATTTGTAGTTCCTATGTTGCTATGTTATACAAATAATGAATGTGTATGAGTGCAACGTAATATGTTCCATAAGGTGAAAGATTGAGTGTTCAATATTCACGAGGCCTAGCTGAGTTCAATAGAAGACTCAGTCTTTCACCAAATGATATATTCTATCCCATTGTACGAATGAGAAATATTCATTATTTGTTTTGTACAATGTGTGCAAATTGATAAAGAAAAATATGCCTAGGCCTAGCCACTTTTTGTTGTCTCAATAGGCCACATACAACCGACCTAGGCTAGGAATCGATAATTCAGGTTTGGCTAATAAATACTGTATGCTGTCATATAGGTATATTGAATTACATGCATTTTATTTTCTTTGATTTTCAGGAAATCCATGATTGCAATTTGTTTTTGGTAGATTTAATTTTACAGCATTTTAGACACTTTAGTTATTTCCATATAAACAAATCATAGGTTTCTAGAATACTACCATGATAAAGTAAGTGAGTCACTTTAGATACACCCTTCATTATTATGCTAATTTGTTTAGATGATGTAAGATCAATTTGATATTTTAGTTTATATGCTAAGGAATGTTACATTGACAACTGATATATATGTGATCCTGTACATCGACTAAAACGTTGTGTTCACAACTTTGTCAGCCACTGCCGTCTGTATTTTTATGTATGTATTTACATAAGATTTGTTTACATAAAGAGATAAACTTGTGGCAATTTTTTTAGGAATACTAATAAATTGTAAATAGTAAATAATATAATAACTTAAAGAAATGTAATATATTTTTTTGTATTACACAGTGTTTATGTAGTATTTTTTATGAAATACTGCTATTGACATTCCACTGTTTTAGATACCAAAAAAAAAAAAAGCAAAAGAAAGGGCTCTGATCTTTATGAAATAGCGCTATATAGCACTATATAAATGATGTAATGTATGTATGAAGGTGCATTATATATCTAATAACAATGAGTCTTGATTTAACATTTTTTGGGGTTTTTCTTCAAAGGATGTTGTTGCAGATTTGAATGAATTAAAAGAAACTCTTCAAGAACTGCAGAAAAGGAAACAACAACTTATTGGATCACATCACCCAACTCACACAGATCCTAAACTTGCAAATCTAGAAGAGGAATTGGACAAGATTGAAGAAATAACTCAAGATAACCAAGACCTTTTGGAACAGTCCATTCACCAACAGGTAACTTAATAACTAATAATAAATATTATTCATAATAATAATAATAATAATAAAAATGATAATAATATATAATGATAATTATGGTAATATTAATAATGAGTGATGATAATAATATAAATTAATAACAATTATAATGAATTAAAATGTAATTTTTATACTTAGTATTATATGAGCATAGGCACAACAACTTCTCTTTTGTGTTGGCAGAGTTAAATGGGTCATGTTTGGGTCAAAGGTCACACATGGTATGAGATCTGGTTATCTTAGATACAGACATTTCAAATCATGTGCTTACATTTTTTGATGTATTAAGTGGGGCGGTCACTGTGTATGACAGTCGTATTGGCCGACGCGATTCTATGGAGAATGCAATGCCACAAGAGATCGGTTTTAATGACGATCCATTCAGACTGCCACCAAAAATCAGTAGACAGCATCGTGTTGTCTGTCGCTAGCAGGGAGCAGAGTTGGATTCATCGTACAACCGTCGTATGATATAACCATGGAGGTATTATTAGAAGGAGATACTCGAAAAAGCTACGCACACGCATAGCTATGCAAATGAACCAAGAACAAAGCTGCCGCAGCGTGTGAAGAGCGTTTGCGCGATGCCTTTGAAGTCTAATGTGTTCCCCGCCACCAAATGCTCAGCAGGCTTTGATTACCAAAAGATTGAACACGGCAAAATGGAGAGCACATTCTTTTCTCAATGCACACCACTTACAGTCAATCACTATGGCTGCGCAATCGTTTCCATCTTGAAGCTAATACATTGATCTTTCAAGAAATACCAAACATAGTAATATTTTCTAAAAAAAAGAGTTTCGAATTTAATGAAACATTTACATCAGCTTTAAAAGTATGGTATATTGCAACTTGAATTTTCATAAATTGGATAAAACTCGATTATTCCAATTTTAACAGATATTAATTAAGGAATGATGAAGGATTATAATAAACTAAGTCATTGTAGGGTTAACGAGGGTTATCTATTCAAAAATTCAATCCAGAATCGGAGTAATTTTCAGTTTTACGCTGCCTTAGCTTTATAGTCACACAAATCGATCTTTAGACAAAATTATAATGAACACAGAAGTAATTTTAACAGAAATATACACATAATAACATACTAAAAGTCCGAAAAAATTTAAAGATATTTAATGGGTTAAAATCTGAAAACGCTTTATCACACAACTGCTGTGCTGGAGCGTATAAACACATGTCGTTGCCAAGTTGTTGCTAACGAAAAAAATGTGAATTATAAGGTAATACGCCCGCGCGCGATCCAAAGGTCTCTGTGCTGGAGCGTATTAAACCATAGAGATATAATGAGAATACTAGAGCGCTAACTGCAATGTATTCGATGTTCGAAATACGCAGAGCTGTGTGTGTGTACAATCCAAGATGGCTGCCATAGATTCAGCCAATCAAATTTCACCTAAGCACTATAATTTTCAATGACGCCCTCAATTTACACAGAAAGTTCAGTACTGCTAGTTACCCGTATGTTTGAAACTCGAGTGTTGCGGTGTATGGGTGTAATGTACACGATTTTATTTTTTTTTAAATATTTGAATAAGATGCTCTACTTGGCCTCTTTTTGGCTACGATAGTTCAAATTGTTATTATCAATACTAATTATCATTAATCAAATAATCAGTCAGAGGGCTTAATTATGGTAATAATATGTATAATAAGCCTGAAGGTGGCGCTTTCCTACGGCGGCCATCTTGGATGGTACACATACATAACTCTGCATTGCTTCGCCATCTTGTCAGCACTCTAGTTGTTTAATAACTCTATGGTATGAACGCATGTTGTTGCTAACAAAAAAATGTGAATTATAGGGTAATACGCCCGTGTGCGATCCAAAGGCGTGGAATACATTGGTTTGTCGCTTCAACGGGATCTGTTGCCAAGTGATCTCCTTCTCAATAATACATCCATGATATAACTAAAGTACATTACGTTAAAGAATATATTTCCCACTTACTATTTCAGTTTTATTTGAGAAAGACCATTCATTTTTGTTCATATTTTGTTTTGCTTTTCAGGATAGTTTTGTGGCACATCTTGAAAAACTTTCCAGAAAGATGTTGGAAGCTCAGGAGATGGTGGTCTCAACGCCAATAACTGCTGATGACATACCAGGACTAGAACATCAACTGAGTCAACATGATGTAAGGGAGACTGTTAATTGTTAATTTGGTTTGATAAAATAACCCTTTTATTAAAATTCATGATATACTTTGAAACCACCGATTGAGATAATGTGATAGATATAAATAATTGATATAGTAAAAAGCTTATGGTGAGTTATTAGTCTTTTTTTTTTATTGCGGGAAATAAAAGATTATTGTATTATTTTATTGTAAAGATACATGCATATGAACATGATAAAAATAGTGGATGTATGTTTGTATGTATGCATATTTGTGCATATATATTTAATATACATACACACAAAATACATGTGATGTAAAAATAAATTGAAATTAGCATTATGCTTTGGAAAAATACTCTATAATTTGAACTATTACAGTAGACTAGTACCACTCTTAACATTATGTAAAACTTTATTCAAAACCATTGAAATAATATGGTCATGCTTTTTGCTAAACATAATCATACCAGGTAGTTTTAAAGTTAAAATGCTATTAAATGTGTTAGAGTACAGCTTGATATTTATGCTCCCTACAGACACAGGAATTGGTCTAGGTCCAAAAAATGAAAACAATGCCGAAGCTATGGATAGAAAACTTCAGTTTTGTTTTCAGGCCTACATTGTAAACAAAATACAATACCAGTAAATACAAATCAATGAAACATATGTAAACAAAATTAATTTTCTTGTTAAATTAGAAATTACTCTATTACCAGCAACTTCTCATTTGTTTTAAATATTACCCTTCAGTGTTTACAAAACCATTTATGAGTATGACATTATGGGACATGAATGGAATGTTCTGTTACAAAATTTCATGTGTTTCTCCTTATTCTGGTACAAATATTCATTATTCACTATGATATTGATGATTTTCTGCAGGCATTGTCATCAGAACTGCAAACGTTCGAGATTGGTATAAAGGATATAAACACAAAGAAGATAGAATTGCAAGAACAAGCCAACCGTCTACAGGAGGCTCGTAAAAAAGCAAAAGAAAAATTGGATTCTACTTCTACTCCAGTTTCTTATGAAAAACCAGTAGAAGCATCAGAGGTGAAAGACACAGTGGAGAGACCTAAAGAAAAACTAGAGTATACTTTGTGTCTAGCTTCAAAGCCTAGACTACCATTTGAAGATCTGAAAGAAGAAGGAAATGTCTGCCTTGAGGCTGTCGCCAGAGAGCTCACTAAGCCTTCATCAAAAAAGCATAAAAGAAAGTTGACCGAAGAAGATGTGCCAGAAAGTGGTCTAGGCAGCTCTGCTGAATTTCCTGAAGAATATTCACCAACGACAAAGTGGACAACTGAGAGTTTTCCGGACAGAATGTCTGGTTTTTCATCTATCAAAACTTTGCCAGAACTGGTTCTTAGAAGTCGCAACAGAAATTTAGCAGATTGTGTTTCTGAGGATGAGATAGATGGAAAGGTTTCTGGAGAGAGTGATGCTGCCTCGCTGCCATCCTTTGCTAGTGGTATATCCTCACCTGCATTCTATACACCAGATAACGGTAGTCCTTTACACTCACAAGATGAAAATGATGAGGATGATGGTACACCAGTTGGAGCATCTCCTGACCTTTCTGCTCTTGGAATGTTTCAGCGAATATTGCAAATTAAAGAAAAGTCTCCAAAAACAGAGGAAACAGATGGGTCACTAGAGATTGTGATACCAGAGGAAGAATCTCATATTTGGAAGCCTTTAATTGAAGCCCCTAGTCCATTGGTTGAAGTGTCAGATGTCTACCCAATTGCTCAGGAGGAAAGATCACTTTCATTTGAAGATGAATTAATAGATGAAATGGAAGTTCCAAAACAAAATGTTGAGATCAAGCCATTGAAATTAAATTTACCAGATGCTCCAACACCCCCACCATCCCCAGTAGGAGAGCATAGACCCTCAGTGTCATTCAGTGATGATGATATAGCAATACTTGAAAATTATTTACAACCTCCAGAAAAAATTTCTCTTAGTGACATGCAACAGGAATTGGCAAAGCTAGAAGTTGATCCATCTCTGATTCTAAGCAGCACTGGCATTGATGCAAGATCTTCTTTTCCTATTATTGATGAAAGTATTGACAGATCTTGTGTCTCACCGGTTGAAACCCCTCTTCAGGAGCTTCTTGATAAGGGTAATAATCTGCCAGCAGAAAAGCTTTTTCCTGAGAAGAGAGGTCCTGTGCATCATGTGAAATTCCATACTCCACTAGTTCAAGGAGAGTTAGAGGAGGATAATATTCCAGAATTGGACTTAAGTGAAAAACCTGCAGTTGATGGAACAAGTCACCTCTATGCTCCAAGCTTTCTTGAGAGTTATCCTATGTCACAAGCAGTTTCTCCAGTTAGGCAGCCATTCAGGAACCAAGCACCACCTCGTGGTTCAACATGGCAATCATCCACATCCCCAAGATCATCACATGAACCTGAGGCATCATTAGCTGTTTTGTCTCCACAGTCAAGGGTTGCAATCGGATCAGCTGTGAGTCCAATAAAGCCAGTAACTCTTCCAAGTGGTCTGCATCTTGACGATGAACCCAAACCCAGAATGCTGTCTTTCACGGATGTTGATGACGATAAGAAAGTTGAAGATCTTAACAAGTCATGGATTCACCTTCAGAACAAGGTAGATTGCAAATTGACTTAATAAACCCATCCTTATTATACTACAAAAAAATGTATATTATTCTGTAAAGACTGTGATAGTTCAACTTTTTAGTTCCAATTCCAATTGTAGTCAAGTCAATGTGAAGCGGTGATAATATTCTGTATCTTTTCTTCCCTAGATGCAAGAGAAGCAAAACCAACTGAGAGAAGCTTTGAAACGTCAAGTTGCCTACCAGGATGCCTTATCACAAGTCAGCATTGACATGGAAACTGCAGAGTCAACTATTGAAGAAATTGAACAACTCTCTGAACTTCCGCAGAAGATTGAACATGTCAAGGTGAGAGTTATTCCATAGGGATAATAATTCTTTGTTTTTAGAATAATAAGTATGTAAGCCACTAATATATTTTTGCAAAACCAAAGAAAAAATATAATAAAAATCATAATACTGAAGATGTTGATTTCTTGTTTATATTATTAGAAAGCATAGTAACAGTTTATATTATTAGAAAGCATAGTAACAGGCCAACTATGGACAGGTTAATATTTCATAAATGATAATGTGTGTAAAACTACTATAGAAATCATCATTTATTTTTATATCATTGCCATAATAATCACCATATATCTTTATCTATTTCCTCTAAGGTTCTTCTTGATGAATTAGATGACATCAAGAATGCAATTGAGGCTGTTCATGACAAGGGAGAACGTATTCTGCTGCCTGGAGATGTCAACAGTAGAGAAGCTATGTTAGCATCTTTAGACCTCCTGCAAGAGAAGGTTGGCAGACTCAAGCAGAATGCCAAAGATCTCTGCTATGATGCTGAGGTAGGCACATTTTCTTTTCATGTAAGGCAAGGGTACTTCAGTCAATAGCCTTAACATAGGCTCTATTTTAATTTTAAACCCTCATTGCGTATGGTTCAGTTGGCGCAGTCAAGTCTTCTCTGTTAAGGACCTAATATATTAGCCACTGTTTTTACTTTAAAGAATACAGTGCATCTTGTGGTAAGTAGGCGGACACTCTGGTACTCTAGTTCGAATTAGGCCTAGTCATTGTGAAAGGATTGACCACTAACCACCTTTCTGCAGCAGCTATGATACTCATGATACCTCACCTGAGTCTGACAGTAAAAACATATTTACAAAAATGACGAGGTGGACTGCACTTTAAAGAAGACATACAATTTTTTGATTTAAACAGAGGCATTAAGTTCTGTTGGTGATTATAGTCTTTATTTCTTTTTATTTATTCATCTGTTTTTATATTGAAGGCAAAACATAAAGAACATGAGGAGAATATCAGCAAGCTTGAAGCTTGCCAAGAAGAACTGCAGTTTATTCATGATTGGACTTCAGAGTTGACATTGACTCTAGAAGTTGAGAATGAAGATGAAGAAGAGGAGGAACTTGAACCAGATATTGCTGGAATTCAAGAAGAAATCATAAAAAACCAGGTAGAAAATCTATCTCTTTATATTAACATCAGTTGGCTATTCACAGGGCTCCCAAGTCTCCAGCAACTTCTCCCACAAATTTATAAAATTTGCAAGTTTTTACCACTTTATTTTCAATTGTCTCATGGAAGTAAATGTGCTAAGAAAGCTCACTTAACCAGGAAGTGCCTAGTTGGGACCCCTGTATTCATAAGGTGCACATGTTAGTCGATCTTATGTAGTAGTAAAATAGTCCTGTAATTTACAAAAGCTTACTTGTTATGATCCATGTCTCATTTCGAAGTTATTTTACACTGTTAAACAGTAATTCATAGTTATAATTAAATTTTTGTCCCAAATTCTATCACAAACTGTAGTTTTGAACAATGTCGTCTGCAAAAGGCAAATATGCAACTTAATACATAACACTCATGTTATGTAGTGATTAGCACACTATTATATATTTTGCTAGGGAGCCCTCTATATGGATGTTTTGTTGAATATAATGTTCAAAACTGTAGTAATCATATTGCTGTATTTAGGTTTTTTTTTTTATTTATTTCAACTTATTATATTTATCAATTTATTTCATCTTTTCTGTCTATTTTTTTTTTCATCATTTTTAAGAGAGTACAAAATATACTCATTTGGGTGACTTCCCCCTTCATAATAAAATGAAGATTGTTATTTTGAATCCTTTTACATTTATAAAGGTTACATACACTGTTTATCTACCCTAGTGTATGTTTTGTACTCCTGTAGGAATGATTAAAGACATGGATAATGCAAAATTCAGTATACTGTACAATATTTTTTCAAATAATAAGTATGGCATATGATAAGCTTGAATGGTTAGATTTTTTTTCTTTTGAAATGGTTAATATTCTATCAAGAGACAAAATTATTTCAAAATACAAAATTCTCGCCATCACAATTCCTTGAAGTTTAATTAATGATTTACCTTTAACAAAAGTGCATATCAAAGAATATAACAATGCTATTAGAGCTCTAATATGTACTGTGATTGGATGAAGGGATACGTTGCGTGCCAAGGTTTGATTTAGCCTGTAGCAAAATATATATCATAATATAAGTAAGATTTACTTCAAGGTCAGAAACGTAATATAAAGTAGCATTTGTCTAATCAAGTGTTCTCAAAGTAGTATATAATCATTAGTTGGTTTATGAAACCTTTAGGATTGTCTACTACAAAATATAATAAGGAGACTGTGTTTTGAGCATCTATTTAGGTTGATGTGGGTGTAAAATACATTACTTTAATATTTTTTATTGTATAAAATTTTATAATATTTAATAATAATAATAATAATAATATGTTGTTCTTATATAGCTTAATGCCTTAACAAAGCCTCTATGCGCTTCACATTATTACCCCGGTCATTGGATCAAACACATATGGAACACATTAAACACTAAATTAAATTATTAAATTAAATTATATCTCCATAATATTGCGGCTAGTAAACAGCGCAGTGTTTGAACCTACCAGGTACCCACTTGTACTCCTGGGTGGAGAGGGGCAACCGTAGATAAAGTGTCTTGCCCAAGGACACAAGTGATTTGCACAGCGAGAGCTTCGAACCCCCGACCTCGAGGTTGGGAGTCCAAGCCACAACCGATGCGCCAACCACTTCTACAAATGACAGTGATATGTATGTAGGCTTGGTTTTGAGAAAATGTGTGACTTCCAAATTGCTTGAACCCATGGCCCTACAGGTATGCTTTGGAGAAAAGCAATCCAAACCACGTCTCAACTCTTACTATTAATTAGGCAAAATAAAATTGTGTCATCTATGCCTGAAGGACACAAAATCTAAAAATCTGGGCTGATTATTGTTGGGAAGCCCAACAAGATACTTGTATGATATATGAAAAGGGAACTCTTCCAGCCTTAGTTAATTAATTGTCATACCTTAATCATGGATTTTAGCCTTGTGGGTACCATTTTAATAGAGAAAATGTATGTGGTAAGTTAGGTTGGCATATGAAACAAACATTTTAATTTAATCAAAAAAACATTTGTATCATTTGAGAATGAGAACATTATTGCATCTTGTATTGTAATTTCCTGTGAAAAAGTGAAATAAATTATCTGTATCTATACCGACTGACAAACTATGATTTCACTTAGCAACACATAAATAAACCCTGATTTCCATGTATTACTTTCGTTAGAACATATTTTTTTTACAGGCTAAGTGTTTTATAAATTTAACAACAAAAATACAATATGAGTTTATTCTCAATAATTATTCAATCAATTTGTATATACGGTATATATAAATATATTCTTTGCCTCTTGGCAATCTTGCTCTCACATATTTTTTATTTATTTATTAAATTGTAGGATAGACTAGCTAGATATCATTTTTACTAGAGCTCCTGTGAGTACTGTTCCAGTGAGCCCCTAACTTTTGGGGCTTCAACGAGCTGGAGAATGGAGCAGTGGAAATAATGATTCTGCATTTTATGCCTTTTCTTTATTTGTTTTTTTTGTACAGTAGTATTAGGATATTCATTGGGTATATTTCCTTTTGTTTATGTAAATCACATAGAGGCAACTTACTTCTATATGTGCTATATAAGACTTACATTATTGTTGTTTGATTATTTTTATTTTTATTTTTATTATTATTATTTTTATTATTATTATTATTATTATTTTTATTATTATTATTATTTTCATTATTATTATTATTGTTATTGTCATATTTTTCTAAATTTATACTGTTGTATTGTATTTTTCTAGTCTTATGTAAAGTGCGTTTGAACATGAATATTAATGAAAAGGGCAGTGCTCTAAATTTGTTAAATAAATACAATAATTAAAAACAATATATAATTTTTAAGCTTTGTCCACTTTTGTAAATTTTATGTAATTTTAAATAACTATGCTCATTGTAATGTATCAGTTACTACAAGAAAGATATTTAAAAAAATTTAAAACTTGAACTATATATAACATGTGACCACATAGGTACCACAAAAGCCACAATTCAAATTGGAAAATACACCAAAATGTGATACATTGTTTGCTCTATTAAAATGACAACCAAGCCTGCATTGACTTGACATGCTTACTGACCACACTTGACAACAATAGGCCTAGCTTTTATTTTTTTCTAGGATGGCTTTACATACAATTAATGGAATTTTGTAACTATTCAAATTATTTAATACCAGTAGAATTTGAATAGTCAATGAGTCTGTGATTCCTATCCTATGATTACTAAAGAATCAACAGTTATTTTTGTATTTAGTATTTATGAGTCTCCCTACTGCAACAATTTTGTAATTGAAAATGCTAGTATTGCTGCTGTATGCCATTGTAAAATAACTAGTTAACTATAGATTCCCATCCGTTTATTCTCTGTGAGTGTATTATAATTAAAGGTATGTGGTTCTATTTCTATATCTGATTAGGTGAACAGTGTAGGTCTGTGTAATTTGTGTTAGCATTCATACATTATAAACTTAGTTGCAATTAACTCAAATTTTAAGATTTTTTTATGGAACATGGTTGCAGCCATGAAGCCAATGTATGTTAAATATTTAAAATGTTTTTCTTTGAGGCTTGCAATTCATTAGACAATTGATTTCTGACAATATTTTGTTTTCTGTTTTTGGACTTTTGGTATTTTTTATTTAAATTTAAACCATATCTCTGTAAACAGTTTTTTTTTTGTGGAGTATTTATATTTTTAAATACTTACCTGGATTTGAAACAAAATTGCTAATATTCCAAGAAAATGAACACCCCTTAAATAAGAATGAATTCAGAGATTAACCATGTAAATATGTCAGTCATAGTCACATACTGTTTTGTGTATGTTGGTTGAAATATCACAAATTTATTCATTTATTTTAATTTACAGAATCGTTTGCTGGAAGTCAGTCGCAAACTGCAGAAGTTGGATGACATCCAATCATTCCTTGAGGATACACTCGCGGTAGAAGAGATTCCTCTTGGTTATGAACTTCTAGATCGAGAGGCTGAGCAGCGAGAGCAACTGGAGAAGTTGAAACAAGAGCTGAGCGATAAACAAGGGAATTTGTGTGCTAATCGTGATGCCGAACGACTTGTGCAAGAGTACAAGGTTATGCAAGATTGGATAGAGAAGAATCAGGCAGCCTCTAGCTTTCTGTTGTCACCAGAGGAAGCATGCTTTAATGTTGAGATGCTACAGCAACAAGCCCAACTTCAGCAGGTAGGATTTATTGTCTGTCTTTCAGTAAAATTATTCAAAGAATTTATTTCCAGAATTAATATTTCCTGTTTGTTGCTTGTTTAACCATGGAAGAATTTTGCACACTAGTTGAGGCTTTGGCTCTTAACCTTAAGCTCAGGAGTTGAATCCTTGTTGCGTATTTCTCTTTTTCTGTTCATCATTGTCTACTTTATATCAAACAGTGAGCCAATTTGGTATTTCTTAGATTTCATCTATTTCTACTAATGTAAATACCTTGTTCCTTGCGTATAAGCCCTACCACCTTAATCATACAGTTATGTTTAATGTGTGTTTTGGGCAAGTACCCATTAAAAATATCATTAAGTCAAGGCATATAAAATTGTAGTTTCGAAAAAAAGTTTAATTTTTATGAATACAATAAATATATATAATGTAATATATTGTCACTAGAGTTTTTGTGATTTATATGTATGCTTTCAAAATAATTAATAGGGCTATTCCATATATGGTATTTTTCTGTCCATGTTTGTAATCAAAAGGATACTAACAGATTAAGCAATGTCAAATATTTATAGGCCCTTAAACAATAATCCAAAAATATAATTATTATAATGTTGGCTTAACATGCCTATATGTTATCACTGAAAAAAAACTCATTAAATCAAATTGATGCACATTGCCAATGTGGTTTTCAAGGTTACCGTGTAATAATATTTTCTAATAATAAAAAAAAATACTGTAACAATATAATGAACAGATAATTCTTAGTGGTAGTAGGCTTACTGTAGCATTTCTCAATACATATTTTTGTGCCTTGCTACAGGCTGTTGGAATATCAGACATATTCATATTAAAATATTTTGGACAAAATATCTGGTTTATATACATTATCAAGTACAAAAATAGATAAATGTCCACGAAACAAGTACAATGCAAAACATTATAATGCAGAAATTCCCAAAAGCTAAAATTGACACCTTAATTAGTGGTAAGACACCCTAAAACATATTGAAAACAAAGTGATAATAGTTTTAGTATAGAGAAACACCTCCACTGGTAATAAATAAGGATCATAATAAATTATTTTAAAAATGTAACATTATTTGAAACCAAGACAATTGTTCTGACAGATTGTCATTCCAATACTCTACCAACTAAGCTATGAAGCTAAGTAGTATCAGGGAGTTGATATAGTGACACACTTTGACTCTCCAATTTAATATGAGACCATTTTTTAAGTCACTTGAAAGGAACTATATTTGGAGAAACACTTCCACTGTTGATAATTAAAGATGATATATGTACCATAGAGGGATAAAATATTTTATTCATTCATGTATGAAAAGTAATATAAAGGTACCAGTCATTTTAACTGGATAACACATTGGCTGTTTGTATAGTTACCTAATTAATAGGATATGATACAAAAGAAGTACTATTATTTAATAGTTGCCATAAATTTAATTAATCAATTTTGTTATTACAGCATCCATGGTTTTCATGTTCTAGTTACTGTAACAATACTAAAGATTTGTTAATGACACAGTTACTTGCATCAGTGAGCCTATTAATTAAACACACAATTAACATCCATTCAGAATACTCTAGAAAAAGCAATAGCCAATCACAATATAGTATGTGTCATCACATCCCTATTTGCATAATCTAATGACCTCAGCAGTTCAAAGCGTTAGTGGGAATCTCCACTTGTGTAGTATTCATTAAAGCATTGTCGTCTGCTATGTAGTGTGTTGTGTAGTTGAGTGTAGTACCTGTAGTTTATAGGTTTAAAACAAGGTCTCATTAATTAAATGTGTAATAATTCTGTATAAAATGTTGGGAAATTAACATGGAATTTAGCATGTGCTAGTGGCAGAACTGTGGACCGTGCAATTAGTAGCATCGTGTGTTTCAACCACCGTACTTGAAGTGGTAGTAAAGCTGTGATTCTGGATCAATGTCTTTTTGTTTGGAATAGAAACATACTTGAAGATTTTTCTTTTAATTAGTGGTCTACGTGTCATAGAATAATATGGTCACTTGGTACAATATGTCAACAGATGGAGCTGTGTACATAAGTCAATATGTGCCCTGGACTTTGATAACAAATTGGTTGTCACGGTGATGTGTATCTACCACTCTATAATATCTACAAAAGATTGGATGTGAATTATTTTGAGGGTGGTACTCTTACAAAAGGGTCATTGTCGAACATTTTGGATTTTTTAAACGTTAGAAATAGGATTTTGAAAATGACTACACCAAAGAGACGTAAGCTGCAGACTTCTAGTAATAATGTAAGTTTTCAATGGTCTGACCTGACCCTGTTTTTTCATGACATACGATGACACTCTATTGACACTATATGATAAAATACAGCAGTATGATAATTTCATAATTTGTCGAGGGTAAAAAAATCACCTACTACATTTATACAGTAGGCCAATGCATATTAACAATTTTATTACAGTTAATGTTTGATTTGATTTTTTTTGTCTGGTTTTTGTACAATTTATTGGTGTAGATATACATTCATTCTGTTTACTGTATTTAAGAAAATATGGGCAAAGTGCAGCCCACAGGCCACGTGTGGCCTGACCGCAATGTTGCTGTGGCCCGCGAAAATAATTAAAAAAGCCCTTTATGTGCAGCCCTTCTATGTAAAAAATAATGTTAAAATTGAGCATAAAACGATGTAAGAGTCAGTGTATGAAGGTTCTTGCAAGCACATTGAAAATGCCATAAATTCACTTTGACCCTTCAACCCATTTTTATTCCCGCTCCTGTAATAAGAACATGCTTTGTAGTACTGGTTCAGTATATGAATATATGTTCAGCAAAACATAAGAGTAATTAAAATTTCATGGCCTTATACAATATAATCAATAAGCATATTGTTCACTATCGATTTAAATAATATCAAGTTTTATTTTCAAATGTTTTAAAACATATCATAAAATTGTTGACATCCTGAATCTGAAGAAATTTGCTTCTCTGAAGCGATGACTGTCTGCTGATTGGCTGATGCTTGCCACCTGTTGATTCTGTTCTGATATTATTTTGAAATGACAGTTGTTGAATTCTCATTAAATATTTTTCACTTGCTTTGTTCTATAAATAAATGGAGTTATTTTTTTAATGCAATCTGCATTTTATTGACGTGCATATATTCAGAATATTATGTCAGAAGTATTATCTCCAAAAATCAGATTGTGTAGGCCTATAGGCAGCTTTTTAGCATACAGTATAGTGATATTAAACATGTTGCTTGTATTTTATACAGTGCCTCCATGGTCAACTGTAGTGATACAGAACTTGCTTTATGTTCCCTGCACATTCATCCTGCAATGTGATCTCATGCTCCCATTGTCTGGCCTATATTCCCAGGCACATTCTTTGTCAGCTTCTCTTCCCTTGTAGTACTGTTTTTTATTTGCAGTGTCAGATTAGCTTGCTAAATCTAGTCTCTGGTGCTGTTTAGTCATGTTGCTCTGACTAAGCTCATTATTTTTTTTGTTTTATTCCAATTTTATACATTTAGAAAAGATAAATTATTTATTTGCCTAATATTACAATTCCAATTGTATGAAAGTTTTTCTGTGATTTAACAAAAAGTTGTTTTTTTTTAAATTTCATTTTTTTGTAGAATTAACATTTTCAAATGTAATTTGCTTTTATTTGATTGTCTTGTACTGTTTTACTATGATTAGCTTTAATAAAACTGAGTCTATGGGTTAAATGCTAATGTAAAGCTTAGCTATACTGGCCTTGACTATTTAGTGTGGTCTCATATCCTTTATGGTTTGTGGTGTCGTAGTATGAATTCTAAACTTATCAAACAATTATAGAAAGTTGCTAAAGATTAAAGTTTGGTGCAATTACAGACAATGACCTCAGTATGACTGGCAATAGTTCGGCAACAATTAGAAAAGGAATTTCTTTCAGGCAGTTCTTACCCAACATTGTCTCAAATTTTGATAGTTTAATAATTGTAAATCCTTGAAAGGTAATTCAAACCACAAAATAAGAGAAAATAACAAAAACCAGGAACAAAGTTTATATTGTATTCTAATGCATTTATTTTTTATTCAATAGCTATTCTTATTAATCAGAGCAAGGAGATTAATTTTAGGATAGATTACACCCAATCACATGAGACATACTGTACTGTAGGCAGTACAGTTTAATATAGCAGTAATACTAATAATAGCAGTAATTGATAGAATCTGTAAAAGGTTATAAAAGTTCATTCACCTTTTAGTAGATAAATCAATATACAGATATTCGTTAACTGTTAATCTGTGGAATGATCCCAGGCAAAGATATTGACCTCTTTAGGGAAGGGTAAAGCCTCCGCCATCAATGATGTTGCACTCGACCACATGGCCATCACAAAGTATCATGGTGCATGTATTTAGTGATGCACAATGTTGTAATGGAGCGAGGTAGTAGAAGTGTGCAAGCTAGTACATGTACAGTTGTGTTTTTGCACAGAGAACAAGAATAATCGCTTTGTAGTTGATCTAAATACAAATAAAAAAAAGTGAACTTTATCAGTAACAATATTGAGATTACCTCATCCTTTTATTTGTTAACACTTCGTGTTAAATTGTAAATTCATCCAGCACGCCTACTGTACACACATTTAATAATTCTTCTTGAAAACTGTTTTTTCCTAAGATTGTATGCAGTTTTTACAGTATATGCCCTCTTTTTTGATTTGGATACAATTATTGTCTATAGTAATAAGCAGACTGGTCCAATATATGATTAAGTAATACCTAATTCCTCTTACAAATATCTGTTTATTATTTGTTTTTCCTCTATTTTTTAATACGGACAATGGATGTCTGAAGTAAAATTTGAATTAAATTATTACGGCTAATTTCATATTTGAGAGCTTGGGGGTTAGCTTAGAATTTCATCATGGTGTCAATATCTTAAATTCATTTTGCTACTTTGAAATGTTTCTTCATGCCAATACTATATATAATGTACATCTTAATATAGTACATCTCTCTTGCAAATTTGTAACATCTGTTATGTCATTTTACAATAATGCTTTTTACTGGTCTCAACTTTTTCTTCTACCTTACAATTGTCTTGTCATTAAAATGCTATGTGTTATATAAATCATGTAATAATTGAAATCAATAACAATTCCTAATTAATCAGTATAATTTAGTAGGTGAATATGGATAGTACAGTCATTTAGTTTGTGATGTTAATTGTTCAAAATAGCTCGCACACGTGATTCAATGCCTAAAACAACAATTCTATCAAGTCTATTTTCTCTGAAGCCATAGCAAGCCTCAAAACAGGAAGCTATTTAAATCAAGTGTTAATAGAATCAGTATCAGTCATATTACAATTAAAAGAATGAAGGATAACCAAGGTAATTCAATCCATTCCTTTTTATTTTTTTATGTTGTTGAAATGCAACTTTATGTCATCTTGCCTTATATTATTTTATTATTAAATACTATTGAACTACTTGTAAAATTATCATGAAATTTTGTTTTCTATATCAATATTACCACATTTTTTGAATTGTTATCAATTATAATAATTATTACTTACAACCTTACTACTGCTGTAGGCTTATTAAGATGCAATATAATATTAAAACTTGTATTATAACCTTAATACAGGCCTACTGCTTCGGCTACTGTATAGTACTGATTTTTATATTACAG